TTCCTTCAAATTCCCCACAAATTCCTCTAAATTCCCCACATTTTTGGCAAAGAATTCCTAGGTGGTTTGCCCCTTGAAAAAATATGTATAAACAAATGCGGCAATTTTTTTAAAAAAGTTAATTCAAAAAAAAATATATATATTTTTAAAATTTTAGAACAGAGAAAGGGACAGGAAGGGACTTTCCAATTTCCGCAATTCGTGGGCCGGGCGTGTGTACCTAATTAATTCCATTAACATTATTAAAAATAATTGATTTTCTATTTAATAAATGTATATTTTACGTTGTGTTATAGTTCAAATCACGATAGAAAGTGAAGTTGACAGTTCGCGTTGACATTTCTAGTAACTTTTTCTTTAGGTTGCCCATGCGTTAGCCCTTCGATTCCGTCAGCTGGGATAAACGACAGGGTCGTATTTAGAAAAGTGATATACATTTCAGAATAAAAATTTATTTTCAATTTCTTTAAAGGAAATTAAGATATTAAATTCCAAAAATCCAAAAATTAGAGTCCAAAGTAAACAGTTATAAAAAGAGTAAACACTCAAATTCAAATTAAAATCAGGTTTGAAACGCATCACCGAAACACACCGGCACAGAACACTACATAAAAAACCAAAAAACCGATTGCGAATATAGCAAATCAAAAAATAATGCAGAAAACGGCAAAAATCTGCAACGATTTCACACAAAAATTCGAAATTCAAAATTCAAAGACCCGAATCTGGTATTTTTATATGTCAAATCAAAATGTCATGTATCATTATTTGATAGTTAACGGAAAAAGGGGCAGATCTGGGGATTTTATTTACTTTCAACTGGTGAAAATAACGGTCAAAATTGAAACTCTATCGTGAATTCGACATTAGTACATACTCATATTGAGATACACTGTACAAGTTCTCATGGTAGAAAGAAGGACAGATTTCGTGCAAGTCGATGTCCTCTTCATACAAGCCTGAAACCGAAAAGTTTTGGAAGCTGAAAGACAAAAAGGCATTTGTAACATTGTAATATTGAAGATATGAATACTTTGAAGCTCTTTTAAACACCTAGGTACGTTTTGAAAGATGACATACAAACAGGCAGTAAGAAATTTGAAGATTAAACACAAAAACCCTTTGAGAATTGCATATGTTTTGGAAGATTAAAAACAAAAAATTTTAACCTTTTAGGTCAAAAAAGTTTCAGGATTTTTCACAGACTTCAAAAACACAAATACCTTGATAACCTTTCACTAAAGTTAATGAACTGGAATGAAAGGATTTAATACAGAAGGCCTAGGAGAAAATCACGGATGAAAAGCACAAAGATTTTAAGTCTCTTTTCTAAAAAGTTGAAAGCTGAATAACGAAATTACTCTAAAAAGCTCTACAGTACTTTTCCAACGCAAAAAGACTATGGGACATAGAAAATTGAAAAAACAAAAACTTACAGAAGAAGCAGACGGTAACTTTTTACAGAAATTTGGCCATAATGAAAATTGAAAGACTTGAGAACATCTTCTACAGACGTTAGAAGCTCAAAGAAAAAAATAATCTTTTTTTATAGAAGTACTGAAAGATTAAAGTGGAATATTTGAGACAGAAAGACGCTCAAAGAAGTTGGCCATACAACTTTTGAGATTGAAACGGGTTTAAGACTTATGAGGTTGGGAGCCATTATAGAAGCTGGGAAAGCAGAAATATTCTGATAAAACCTAGTAATCTATCATGAAAACCCGCAAGTTCATAAATTTCATTACTAAAAAGCACCGGACCAATAACAGTTTAATGACCGAAATCCGGACAAAATTTTCAATAAAACAAATTCCGAATGTAATGCTCAAAGAAAATCTCAAGTTTTATTTAGTAATAACGTCCACGTGCTCCTGGCGATTCCTTTAACGTTTCCCATGAACTTGCCTCGAAAATTTATTACTATGGCAACAGCACGTTCAATTTTCGAATGCAAATACCAGAAGTCTTTTGGAATTATCGACTTGAATCTTCAATTAGGCATCAGCTGACATCACACAGATAACCTCACTTTCATTGGCGGGACAAACAAACCGTTTAGGGACTATCTACACACATCCAGTTAGCCAGACTTAGACTTGTCTGGATAGGTAACAGGTTCATTTGCGACTGACGATATTTTATTTTTCACTTCGAAAGTGAGGTTATATGTATAACGTCAGCTAGTGCCTAATTAACCACAAATTAAATTATCTGCAAAAACACCAAGTATTGCTTAAAGGTACCTAGTACATATAATGTGGAAAATATTTAAGTTTCTAGTAGAACTTTTTTATGCAGAATTCAGCGACGTTCTCCGTTTTTTCCTGTTTGGCTGCGATTTCGAAATATTGATTTCTTTCAATAGGACACCCTATACAGCGTGTTCCGAAATTAATGCATCAAATTTTTATGGCATATTCTACGTCGAAAACAAGCCCTAGTTTCCTATATAAACATATGTCCGGAAACGCTTCCTTTCCGAGATACAGGGTGTTGAAATTCTAAGAAAAAAACTACTTTTTCATCATAATTTTCAAACCACTCTAGATATTTTATTGAAATTTTGTACACTGCCTCCAAGCAGCAAAAGGCGTTTTTTGATGTGAAATTATCTTTTTCAAAAATCACCAGAGACGTCCGTACCGGAATTATATGGAATATTTTCTAAGAAAAAAATGGTGCGCCACTGCTTTTTCCTGAAATTAAAATCATTTTTGAAATCCCCATTCAATTTGAAACAAATTTGATCTCTCTACTTTTTTCCGAAAGATGCACCGTTTTCAAGTAAATCAATAAAAAACCATTTTGATGCGTGGCAAAATCGCCACAATTCTGATATAAATGTTAAACATAAAACACCTAAAATTTCAAATTATTTTTGTGACGTCACTGGTAATTTTTTTAAAAAATATTCCCCTTTAAAAAACGTCTTTTGCTGCTTGAAAGCAGTGGACAAAATTTCACTGAAATTGTTTGAACTGTTTTGAAAATTATGATAAAAAAATAGTTTTTTTCTTAGAATTTTAACACCCTGTATCTCGGAAAGGAAGCGTTTCCGGACATATGTTTATATAGGAAACTAGGGCTTATTTTCGACGTAGAATATGCCATAAAAATTTGGTGCATTAATTTCGGAACACCCTGTATATTAATAGATCATTGAAAAGCTCTGCTTTTTCTGATTTCAATGATATAAGAGACTTTGATATAAGGTTCGATAGGTTTATCTCGGTTTTCGAGAAAAAAAATTATTTCTGTTTTTGTCATAAGAAACAATGTGTTGAAAAAGGACTACATTATCTGTAAGGAAAATGCGAAAAGTCTCTTTCTAACACATTGTTTCTTATGACAAAACAGAAATTTTTTTTTCTCGAAAACTGTCAGGGCTAAACCTATCGAACTTTATGTCATTGAAATCAAAAAAATCAGATTTTGTTCAATACTCGATCAGATTTCTGTTATAAACAATAATTACAAATGCACTAGGGGAAAACCACCTACCAAACTTCCTCTATTATTTAATAAATCCCCTCTTTATGAAACTGAAATTCTTGTCTCTATTAATTCTTCATTTTCTCGGATTTCCCTGATAATTCCTCATTATTTTTCGGATTTCCCCAAACTTCCTTTCGGATATCATGAGCGGCTATTCAAATTTTCAAATTAGAAAGAATCTCGAGTTTCACTATCCTTTGTTGTAAATTGTAGTATAACATACCCAGGTTCGTTCAGTAAGATTAAACGGTATGAATTTTTATTACCTTTTAAACAACAAATCTTCTGAAAAATGAAATGCAAAACAAATAGGACCTACGTTGTGGAAACTTACTCAATTTTACTTTCTGGACGTGCGCCCGACATAGCAAATATTTGGGAAATTTAAGGGAAGCTGTAATATGTAAAAGAAACGAGAAATTTGTGAAACGTCTACTTTATTATTAAAGTAAATCGTACCGTTCTCATCCTGGAACTAACGAGGGGAAAGAGCACGGCAGAGAAACCCTCGATCTGTGTCATTTTAATAATAATTGTGAGTCAATAATTCAATAATTTAAGTCAATAAAAGTTTAAATTAAGTACCATCCTTTGTATTTGTGCTAAAATTTAAATTACACACACAACATTTAATCAACACTACCTAAATTCAATACTGAAAAGTTTTTTGGTTAGTTAGCCCATCTGTGGCAAGTACCTACTGAGGTCCCTGGTTACGGTAACTCACAGCTATAGTTATTTTTGAGCCAATATCTCTAAATTGATTATTTCAATTTGTTAGGATATTCTCTCGTCAGGGTAGGCAAATGTTAGTAAATTCAACAAGGCCCTAATCCACAAAATCAAAATCTCAGCACAAAAAGACAGCACATAATTTCTTAGGTTCTAATTTACTTCTTTATCTGTGTTGTTTGTAACGTTAATATTTCCAACTTGAGGCAGTCCATTCGGTTCCTAAAAAAAAAATATCATAAGATCAAATAAAACACGATATATACTCACGAAGTTCTTTTATTTTAATGGCTCAGTGCATAACTATGTTTCAATAAATATTTATTCCTATTTTGGTTATAGTTTTGTTGTTGTTCCGCCAACCTGACTTTGGACGTGCTTTGGACTGTCATTGAATTGCTGGCACTTGACGCTTTCATTTGGTCGTGAGTGACTTACTCTGGTTGCTCTCGGTTGTACCCGGTTGCACCCAGTCGTACTTAGGCGTTTTCTTTGGGTCTTTCTAGGAAACAGTAATCCCACCTGTCAAACTTGGTGTGACCATGTGTTTCATGAGTACAAATTGACAATGTCGATGAGAGGGGGTATTCCTGCCACCCTTTAGGGGAGCTTCCGGTTTGTCCGAGTTTTTATTTATGCATTTTTACGTGCGCCACGTGCGGCGGATTCGAAATAATTCGGGGAAATTCTAGAATTCAAATTTTCGTGGAATTTGAGGGGAACTTCCGGCGAACTCTTTCTTGAGGTGCCATCATGCCTCGGGTCCGGCAGTCTCAGTTCAGTAGTGAGGTGGAGAGCAGCTCTTTGAGGAATAGTGGACCATTTTCCGGAAGTCTCTGTCTGGAATCTCGTGCTCTTCTGGTATATGAAGTGAGGATTATTGGTCCCTGTCCGTATTGCGAAGATTTGCCCTGTAGGAGGATCAAGGAATTGTGCATTCGAGGGATTTCGCACCCATTTTTGGGGAGTATTTTAAGTGCTAGTTTGCCACCGCCCACGTGCTTTACCCGATACTTTCGTCGGTGAAGCTCCTCACTACTGAACTGGTCCTCAACAACCCCTGGAAACGCATCCATTGGTGAGCATTTTTTTTCCTTTATTTTATATTATATTTGTCCCGAAGTCTGTATGTCTGGGATTTTTTTTCATTACCTCGTATGTCAAAGTTATTGGCCGAGGAATGTTCCCTTTATTTTATATTTGGGTTTGAGCTAAAGAATTTCGATCTTCTATTATGGGTATTGGAGTCCAGCCTCCGGATTCTATTTTACGAGTCGAGTCGAATTGTCTCGATATCGAATACGACGGCTCCGGACTTACCGTGTATGGGTACTGATAAATCGGAAAATAGAATCGCTATTTTGACAATTCGATACGAATTTCGACTCGACTCGTAAAATAGAATCCGGCAGCTGGACTCACAGTAGGGGCGGAGCCCTGAGCTCACAGCCTTCCAAGCGACACGTTCACCTGGCGAACTACAGTCCAGCCATTCCTGGCTCAGCGAAAACCCTCATCGAGGTAATTATGCTCCTTTAGTCTAGTGTGTGGTTTTCTTTTGAGGGTTTAAGTTTCTTAAGCGATATAGGTGGGATACTTATACGGGTTTTTTATTTAAGATTTTTTGATTTGGATTTCAAGTACTGGAAGACTCAGAATTCTTGGGCCTCCACCTCTGGTGTAATTGGTTCTCGCTCCGCTGATGTCTTGGCATAGAGCTGTTGCCGCTCTGAACGTCTTCCCTGTCCGTCTTTTGTCACCGCTCCATCATTTGACACAAGGGCACCATCTCGTCGAGGCTTGTAGAGCCAGATAAGTACTTACCAACTACAAACCATACTGTTTCACTTATTTAATTTTTTTTTATTTTTAATATTTTAATACCTGTTTGATCTTGCCTCAATCATTTCGAGGCCCGTTATATTGTACGCATTTTTCTCAAATATAAGGGAACGGCCCTACCCTTAACCGAGGTGCCACCCCCATTATATTAAACAAATCGTGGCCAAGTAGGCTAGTTCTCGGCACGCTCGTTTGGGGTGTAGGTGTCCTGACTCACCATAGAGTCATTAAGACTCCCAATATTAGCGGGACTCATTAAGAGTATAATTATTGTTATAATGTATATGTATGTGTATCTATATAGATACATATATATACTTAGTGCGTATTAAGTAATGCATGTGCAAACTGTCACATCGAGGTTTATGACGTCATAAGGTCGATCTGGTAATTTAATGAAAATTATTTATTTATTCATTTGAGGTGCAAGTTTGTTTATCTCATTGATAAAGGTGCAAATTTGTGTGGTGTAACTGCATAATTTAATATTTTTAACCGCAATATTTTTGTTCAAAATACTTTTGAGTGAGACGGTTGTATTTGTTTCCTACTTCTCAGTCCATCCTCAGTCAAGGATATTTATCTACGGTCGAATGGTGACCCTTTGAAGACAAACAAGAAGACTTAATTAATTTATGATCCAACTGTGATATTTTCACTTTTTTTTTGAAGTACACATATGTATAGGTATACACAATTTGTTTTTCCAATAAACTTCAATTCATTAACTAAACTCCGGCTTGAATCAATTAACCCCTCACCACCTTATAGGGACAACAGCAGCTTAATTTTTGGGACAATTTGCAACGATTATTTTTTTTAGGTTGGTCCAGAACCTGGCAAGTTCGTGGTTAGTGCTTGGGTCTGGACTTAATAATTTTTCAATCTACCATCTGTTCTACAAGCGATAAGTGGCTTAACTACGTGGCGCCTTATAAATATTTACAGCTTTAAAACCCACCTCATTCTCCACTGTTTAAAAGCTGCCGGACTCACTTGTTGCAGACTTTATACCAATCTGGAAAATTATTATTGCTTATTCTGTTTCTGTCAGATTTAATAGGGAACATCTAAATTTTACGCCATATGTTTACAGTATGAAATGATTTGAACAATGCACATGTTACATATAAAAAATGTTATAAATAAACAAAAAATACATAAAAATGAACAAAATAATAGGAACTTGCATAAATTGAACTCTCAAAAACAAAATAACATTTAATCCACTTACCTGTGAACGCTCCTTACACACACACTAATAACAAATTGGATTGAACAATCAATTTTAATGCAAAATAGAAATGAAAATTCAATAATGAATAATTACAGACACGCGTCTAAAGGAACAGCCCCAGTTTGTTCTCAAGTCTAGTTGCGTCTCCTCTATCTCCCGTTCGCAGTACCGTTCCTTGTGGTCGAACGCGGTCACCTCTAAATTTGATGGGGCAGACAAGGTTGCAACATTTACTTTTATTCAGTAAACGTTTTTTTAAAAAGTTAAGATTTGTAGAAATAATATTTTAAATAGATGGTTTTCCTCAAAACGTAAACATTTAAAAAAATCTCTTGCAATTTGAACTTCCTCCCACTTTCCAGGATTTGCACAAAATTTCTTTACTACTTCCTCTAAATCTTACTATAGATCAAAAATGTCCGTAAGGTGACAATTTCGACAACAAAATATCAAAACTTACATGATTTTCTTTTTTTCTCATACCTTTAAATGTATTGTTTCAAACGATTTTTTTACTTTACTATATTACATCAATCAAAAGTGCGGTAATGAGCTTCTGATTGTTATCAAATTATGTATACCTACCATCGAAACCTATATTATATCACTAATATTTTCCTTCATTTTCAGGTAAGCACCTGCCAATGGGCATGAGCAAATCCGTCTAGAGCAGTAAGTTTTGAGAATATCTAAAAATAATTTGGTTATGCAAAATGGCATATAAGTACTTGTACTAAATGACTTGTACGTTTACAATACCCATAATTAATTAACCACTAAGTCTTATGCAGAAGTGTTATTTCACCAGAAATGTGGTAACTTAAAAAACTATAACTCGTTATTATACCGAAAATATTAGGTACCTACTGTAATCAAATATTTCAAAATTTAAAATTCGAAAAATATATGGCATGTCTATGGATAATCGAGTTTGACTGATTTATAACTGACTTGCATTTGTAAATACACTTATATGGCATATCTGAAGTTCATAACATATAGTCACTTTGTGAAACAAAATCTAGCTAATTTATTGTCAAGTAGCGCTAATCACAACACTGACAAATGCTTTCATTGTTCAATGCGCACCAAAGCAGTATTTTTTATTTATAAAAAATATTATTTTTTTTAATTTAGTTGCAAATAAGCAATTTTTATGCCACTGGTAATGGCAGCAGTTTCATGGTCATTTAACAATACAGCGTACATTTATTGTTTGATGTATTACTGTGGCTATCAGTACAAGAAATTGTATATTTTCAATAATTTATTACGTTTGTAGATAAATAAACTTCAAAACTTTTTTCTTGTGTGTATTCTAAATAATAAATTACATTCAAATACGCAATTAATAATACATATTTAAAAATGTTTCAATGAGTAATGCTTAATGCATATAAGAATGTTAGGTTAGGCTTCCTTTTTCTGATCTATGACTATATCATCTTTTTTGTGGCAAGTTCCGAATTTGAAAATTTAACTTGTAAGTAATTTTGTTGGCCTCGAACCTGCATGACGTTTCATTTTGTGAAAATCCTTCTGGGAAGAATTTTAACTCAGTTGGTGACCATATTATGTGACCACGTTTTCCTCACAACGAACGTCTCAAAAAATTCTTTTAAATATTTGAATTTGAAAATGTACATTCAAGAAGTGGTTTCCTCCTTGTATATACATAGAACTTACAAAATTGCAAAACGAATTTGTAGGAAACAACAAAAATTCAAACTTTTAAATTAGAGAGTTTCATAAACTGTCGAACAGCTCAAAATCGGAAAGTTGCTTTTGTAAGTTGATGGAAAAAGTTGCAGATTTCCGGGTTATCTGGTTTCAAAGTAACTTTTGATTTAGAGGCTCTATACATCTAGAAATTTTAAATTGGAAAATATATTTATCTGTAGTTTGTTTTAAACCTCAAAACCTCAAAACCTGTATTTTATTGTGAAAAAAAGGTGGTTATAGAGGCAAAAGTAACTTCAATTATAGAAAGAATAGCAATTTATCACATGGAAATATCGGTAGTAATACTTTAATCCTTGATCGTCTTATTTGAATTCGAAAATTCTTGTTTTGTAATACCATACCCGTAAATGTTGTCTTTCCCAACGTTGCAAACTAAATAGCAAACCAGACATAATATATTAACCTTTGCAATATAATGACCAGCTCAGATTTACATTTGAATAAACAATAAAATATATGTTGACGTTGGAAAACTATTTAGCATCTAAATTGTGAATTAACAATAATCATTTAGTAACAATAATATTTTTATAATAGCGAGTATCGGAACCACATCAGACAAACTTGTTACGTAGGTCATAATATCGAAAATGATTGATAGCTTAAGTGGATTGAACATGAAAAAAATACAGAAGGCGGAGCAACAGGAATTACGACGACCGCCAAACATTATCAAACTTAATTTATTCAAATTGTTTACTGTCATTGAACAATTTATTCACAAATACCTATACAAAATGCATATTTTTCTACAGTACAATACATTCCTATGCGACAAGTATAAAATATCCTACAATTTTACACTAATTTTAATATGCATTGTTTTTGTAAAAACACGATAATTTGCTCTAGCAATTTCAGAACAGAATTTAAAACCGCGAAAAATGTCAAAATCCAGGAGTACGAAATGATTTGGGAAATAAAAAGAAATGTGCAAATAGAAAGGACAATAGAAGAGAAGAGGAAAACATTGAACCTGATTAAGAGCAGAGGCATGAAGAAAACATTGATATTGAAAATAGAATTTCAAACACTGCTACTTGCGGGCTTATTGACACAGATTATTTAGACGAAATTCAAAAATTGGGTAAAAGTGGTTCAAGTTACAGTTCAGAAGTTGAAGTTGAGAATGTAGCTCCAATTCAAAGACCACAGGGCATAAGAAAACCACCCTGTACATTAAACGATTATGTAACATATTCAGCTTTTATTGAAGCAGGTGATGATGCTTCAACCGTACTCTAAGTTGGAGTCCAATTTACTGTAATATTGAAAATCCACAAATAAAGGAAGTGTATATATTCGGACAATAAATTATTTGAAAAAAGAAATTTAAGGAAATCAGGATCAACAGTAAATTATACTATTTATTTACTGGTGTTGCAGAATTTGAACCTTTGAACCAATAAAATTGCAGGTTTCTTCATTACCTTATAAGGTAGTGGACCTTTCTCGCCGCTGTGATTGTTTCCTAGTTTTTGCAACCTGCTCCATGGCAGAGCTAGTCGACGCACATTCTTCAGTACTATTAGAATATGCGATGAGTTCGCGCCCTCGCGCCCTCTGATGCTCCTCAGAAGCAAAACCCTCAAAACCCCTGTTAAAACGCGCGATTTATAGTAAAATACTACTCTCTGTGTCTCAAGGCCTGACATGGTCTATATTATTGATTACAATTCATGTAATTAACCCCTAATTATTGCATGTCATCTCGGACGAGCAAAATTATCTCGTAAGCGCCTGTTTTTGGCTCTCTCTCTCACTCTCAACGGGCTCCAACACGCCTGCATATCGTTGTGTTTTCATCTCAGTGGAAAATTCCATAGCTGCCAGTGTGAATAGTGATAAATGGATAAATAATCGCCTTGTGGATGGATTTGCATGAACCGGGTTAAGCAAGTAAGGCCGTTACAATTTCTCTAACAGTCAAACAATAAATACTGATTAGTGATTCGCTTGAAATGTACTATAAATTGAAGTGTCTTCTCTAACGCTTATGCAGAAATTTGTTGTCACACTCATGAAATTAACATTTGTTGTTATAGAAACTGAGCATATATAAAGGCTTCTCTTGCACATATTGTTTACAGACTTCCGCAGAAAAGTGCTCAAATTGTTAACTCTCAATAAATAAAAGAACTTTCAAGGATCAATAAACATTTTGTGATTACAGTGAACTGATTAAAGTTGACGAATTATTTATGTTGTGCTCTCGTGCATTTAATTAGTTAATTTGTGTTTTCATTCACTTAACATTTAACCATAAATGATATTATTATCATTATCAGATTTCCCTACTGTTTATAAATCAAGATACTTCAGATTAGTATAAAATTTGTAGTTTGACTGGACGTCCAATTAGGAATTTTTAGATAGGATTTGATTGATCTATACCTACCGAATTACTTTCATTTATTAATTAAATTGATAATTATTTATTTATTATTTATAATTTCAGCGTTGATCCAATACCTAATGGTTAATTTATACAGTCAAAGTAAAAACTTTTAGCATCCCTGGTGCGGTTTGACTAAAGCCCAAAAAGGGGCAATAGCTAGTTATGTCACAACTGGGATGGACTTTATTAGGTAAATAAAATGCATACTTGGCTTCTCAAACAATGGGTAATGTAAAGGATTTGTTTTAAAATGAAATGAAAAGAAACTTAAGCTGATATGAAAAGAGACAATTGGACAATTTACACGATGCAATATTAAGAATTTCTAATGAATTAAAATTACAATTAAACTAAAGAAGACTAAGGACTGGTTTATTGATCGTCAGGTATGCAATCTGACGGATAAAAACGCAATCTGTAATCTCATTGGTCGCCCATTATGCGTTAACGAATAAAATTAGAGAACGGTAAATTTATCTTGCAGATAGTTACCAGCAAATTTATCTGAAGATGAATAAACCATAAACTGGTCCTAAAACATAAATGGATGTATATAAAGATGAAACCTTGTACTTAATTTATCTAAGTCAGGATGAGAAAATTTACCAGTAAAGCCTTAATTTTCAACTTAATTATAGGAAAGCCCTACATAAACGAAACTTAATAGAAGTGAAACGAAATTGATTAATTTGGCTTGAAATTCGTTGAATATTAAATTTAATAGCTCAAATTTAGGATTATGAAACAACGTTGGCTTTGCGAGCGAATCATTTAGTATGCGGAGATTTTAAAAGTACAATTAAATAAAGTTACTGAACTTGTGCACTGAATTTCCATCAAAAGACCTGAATCGTAACTCCAATTTGCATCAAACAACAAAATGGAACATCTCCCTACAAAGATAAATTAAAGATGAAATATGAAGTAAAGATGGAGTAAAGCCTGCAACAAACGGTCTCATTATAAAATGTCTTAACTCAATAAAACTTATCAGAATTCATTACTTGTTCGAGTTATGGGCCCAGAAGTGAGAGTTTGTGAAAAATAGCTGGAAACTGGTTTTACCACACATATTATTGTTTTACCTGCACTTTACCTTTGCCTGTTTTTATAGTGATAGTGAATTTCATTTAATCGAGTTTACTGGCTGTTTTTTCAACGAGAATTTCAAATTTTTTACTTCAAAAATTGGATTTATGCGGCTGTGCACTGATCGGCCATTTGGTCTCAAGCAATATCAGGATCAACATTACTAATGTTCACTTTCATAATCAAAAAAATAATTGATATATTCAACCGGAAACAGACATTTAGCATGCGGGATTTTGGCATTACCAACCGCCTATAGGAGTTTTTAGGTATTCTTCGTTTTTCGATGCACTTTCTGATAGTTTCAAGATTTTAGTAGCTACTCTGTTTTCTCCTGGACATTTTATACTTTTTATTTGATTCAATGCCATTTCTAATATGTTTTGACTTATTTCTGGAATTTCCTCAGAACTTATGTTTAGAATTTGTCTTTTTTCTTCGATTGTGTTTGAAATGATGGTTGAGAAAAAATCGGTGTAGAATTGTTTAATTTTTTTCGCTACCTCCTGTTTTTCTATAATAAGATTTTCCGATTTGTCCCGCAATTTTATTATTTCAATTATTCCTTGTGACATTTGGATTTTATTTTCTTCCATGGTGTTATTGATTAGTTTCGTATTGTATTTTCATGCCTACATCTTTTTTTATTTTTTTTTTTTCAATTGAATTTCTTTTTTAAATTTTCCTTTCGTCAATGAGTTTCAATGTATCGAGTCTAATTTTGTTTTTGTTTTTTGTGGAATAACATCTTTCTAATACCAGTATGGATACTAGATATGGTTTTTCTCATTCAGTTGGTCTATATCCATAGTATTCAGGGATTTTTTTTTTCAAGATCAATCCATAAATTGTATAAAATTACTAATTAAAGAAAAAAAACTCGTGGCTATTGTAAAATGTATATTTGATATGGATAGCTGGCCTTGGACATCTTATCATTTTTTTAAGATAACTCGACAATAAAGGTATTGACGCTACGCTATGTTAAAATAGTAACTATTCTTATCAAACTGAGAAATTACAATAGATTACTGTTACAAGAATATAAGCGAAAATATTTCAGAACCGGGAAAAAATTCATCAACTATTAAGACACAACAATTTCAGCTAAAAATAATCATATATGCCGACATTGACCTACTGAATCGTAAACTCGAGTCTCGTCTATTTAATTTCGAAATTGGATTCCAGTTCGATTGGACCTTATTAACATGAATATGCATGTCGTGGTTAGTAACAACGGAAACGATTTTCCTACAGAACAATTTTATCGTTTTCGATTCGATTTGCGAGGCATTGGATGATCAAATCGTTTAATATTTTATCCAAAATGTTGAAATCGGCGAATAATAATAATTATTATCGGGCATTTTGCTGGATGCAAATGTTTTTTATTTGAAGAAATATGTGAATACATAGGTATATAGGGTGTGACATCGGGAAAGAAATCGATCTATACCGGGTGGGGCACGAAAAACTTTCCACCCAGGTTTTCTCAGGTGTTAGGTGAGAGTTAGATCAAAAATCGCTCAGACACGTCAATTTTTGTTTTTTGGAGGACACATTTTATTGGTATTTTTACCCCCTACCTGTGCACCCCTAAGTGGGGGTGACAGGTAGGTACCCCCAAAATTTCAAATGAAAAGGGGGGTCGAGTGATACGTCATTTGATAGCTATTTTCATTAAGATTATATCCCCGAAGTTTCAAGTTGCTACTATTTACCCTGTCGAAGTGGCGGCTTGTCAAAGTTAGGAAAAATCAATGGAAAAATGCTGTGTGGTTTTTACCTGTTACCTACGCATAGGTGTGACATGTAAAAACTATACAGCTTACGGCCATTTGCACCGCTACAACTTAAGGGATATTTATTCCCAGTGGAGCTTTGAATGTGACTCTTGTAGTAACAAAAGTCACATTCAAAGATCCACTTGGATTAAATATCCCTTAGGTGATAGCCGTGCAAATAGCCATTAGATTATCTAAAAAAAGCATTTATCCTAACTTTGACATTCCGCCATTTCGGCAGGGTAAATAGTAGCAACTTAAAACTTCGGGGATATAATCTCAATGAAAATAGCTACCATATAACATATCACTCGACCCCTCTTTCCATTTGAAATTTTGGGGGTACCTGTTACCCCCACTTAGGGGTTCACAGGTAGGGGGTGAAAGTACCAATAAAATGTGTCCCCCAAAAAACAAAAATTGACGTGTCTGAGCAATTTTTGATTAAACACCTAACACCTGAGAAAACCTGGGTGAAAAGTTTTTCGTGCCCCACCCGGTATATGAAAAACTGTATACAGAAAATTTTTGAAAATTTGACAGTATGGTAATGTCAATGAGGTCAACCCGGCTTTCAAGATGGTGGGTGGCACTTCCGGTTACCACACCATTTCAACCTCAATTTCGGAAAAAGTAACTTTTATTTAGGAAATGTAAAGTCATTTTCGGAAAAAGTCAAATCAATTTCAGAAAAAGTAAATTTAATTTCGGAAAAAGTAAATTCAAATTCGGAAAAAGTAAATTCAAATTCGGAAAAAGTAAATTCAATTTCGGAAATTACGGAAGTAATGTTATTTTTTAGAATAATTCGAGTTGATAAAAAATAAATTTAGCAGTGACTATGTATACCTCGAGTCGAACCCGTACCCTGACGGGTTCGATTCCAACCAAGACCTGTGTACTTACTTTACTTAGGTTCTATGTACATTTTGTAGGTCTGATGATGCTCATATGAGCGAAACATATGTGACTATCAAGCGGATAATAGTATATTACATACCGAGTAGGGAAGTGTTTCATTACTGTCGAGAGATTTATATAGTCTTATTAATCTCGAGACAGAAATGAAAACTTTTCTCCAAGGTTTGTATACTATTTTATTTGCAAGCACACCATTAATTATGATTAATCATTAAATTTTTTAATATCAAAACAATAAAACAAATATGCCAAAATGTGTCATTCACTGTTTTGACGTTTTTACCTGACATGTTCTCATTGTTGCCAGCAAAGGTAAATAAATTACAGTGAGGGAAATCGGTGAGGGAAGTCGAATAGGGAAATCGGTGAGGGAAATCGAAGAGGGAAGTGACACAGGTAAAGTGACACTTCCAAATTTTTAAAAAGTCAGTAATGTCAAGATTACATATATGGTTGCAAATAAAATAATAAACAATCTGTAGACTTGGTAATTTTTTTTTATTGCTTAAAAATTGGGTCTCTTTGGGAAATATGGACAAATTTTTTGATTTTCTACATAGATAAATGACTTAATGAATTCAAATTATTCTATAAAAAATAACATTACTTTCTCCGTAATTGAATGTATTTTTTCCGAATTTGAATTTACTTTTTCCGAATTTGAATTTACTTTTTCCGAATTTGAATTTACTTTTTCCGAATTTGAATTCACTTTTTCCGAAATTAACTTTACTTTTTCTGAAATTGATTTGACTTTTTCTGAAAATGACTTTACATTTTCCTAAATAAAAGTTACTTTTTCCGAAATTGAGGTTGAAATGGTGTAGAAGTAGACGTCAACTTGCTTATTTAAATATATATATTATTTCTTTTTGATTTCTGCTCAAGTGTTGAAAGTAAAACTTTTTTTGGTTTCTGTTATATGTGAATAAAAAGTTTCAAAAAAAAATAAATAAAAATAAAATAAAATTTAATGGATACTTGAGATTGCAGGACTGAAGGTCGAAGTGCGTGTAAATTATGCCCTAGCTCAGAATTAAACGATTCGGAGAGTAGGGGTGGGTTTATTTTTGGGCTCCACCGACTTAGGAAAGAGTCGGACTCTCCAGGATTTTATCTGGCTCCAGGTCCTTACAATTCAAATACAAAAATATTTAAGAAAAGTTAAAACTAGGCTGAGTGCATAAAACCAAACAAAAGTCAATATGAATCAAGTGCTATAGTCTGATTATTTACTAATTGTGGTTATAGTCCACAATGAAACAATATATTATGTATTGAGATATTAATCCAAAAAAATAAATAAAATAAACAAGTAAATTAGCAATATTACCAATCAAAGAGTGAAAAACTATTTGACAAAAGACAATCGCTTGAATTGTCATTAATTAATAAATAAAGTGACCTTTTAATGAAGGGTCAATCAACAAATACAGGTAGTGGCTATAATATGGAAATCAATACTGAAATAAACATAACAATAAGTGGAAAGAAAAAAAACAGAATATTATTGTAGCTCAATAACCAAATGAATAAAATGTAAAAATTTAAAAAAATGTAAAATTGAGAGATAAGAAATAAGAAAAATAATATTATCTAGTAATTGGAACGGTTACCATACATAATAAAATAAGTCGCTATGAATAATCAACCACCTGAATCAGGTAACAGGTTACGTCTAGCTGAATTACCTATAATAATTACTGCTGTTTTGTTTCACTTGTCACATTGGTACAAGTACTGAATTACTCCCTAAAATACCGCAGTGATCACTTTGGCGCACAAAATAAGGGCAAAATGTAGATACTATAAATCAGTAACTTTAAATGAAAAAGGTAGGATAACGAAAGCTAGTACGATACCAAAATGTTCCACATGGTATAGCTGCAGGTACAATTAACCAGGTTTGTCCTGGGTTGTGGTTGTGGTTAAGGTGGTCAAGCCAATCTTAAGGTTCAAATTCAAGATAGGGAACCATCCAAATAAAAGGCGTAGGCTCTGGTAGTCTTTAGGTTGGGAGCAAAACTACTTCGTGAACTGAACATACACTTTATTCAAGACTATTAGACTAAACTAAGCCTGTGACCACTTATGGGCCCACTTATCTGGTTCTACTTTTTTGGCAGACCTGGTATTTTTCATTGAAAGGTCAAACTAAAGCACAGAACGCTAAAGCGAAAGCCAAGTTTACACTTGAGCTCTAATACATATAACAAGTAGCAACAGCCTTACAATCTCGGTGACAATGGGTTTCTTGCATGAATTTTTTTTTATTTGCTTTTTGGAAAGAGGAGTCGAAATTAAGCTCAACTATATTTTTTTCCGATTTTTTTCGGACTTGCAAAGGCTCTAAATTTCGAGTTGAAGTTCAAATTTCTTGATACCGTGACGTCACGGCACCAAATTTCTGATTGGTCAGTTTTAGCCAGTGTTGCCCAGATGTTATGGTTTTCATGTAAACTTTTCCTGGCGGGGACAACTAAATCGATATATCTATATCGAATCCACAGATTTGTAAGTATCGGACGGAATATGGAATCGATTCTCATTCCTATGTAAATCTTAACCCAACTTTTTAATTCATTAATTCATTATTTATTTTTATTTATTAGCCTGTCCAAGACAGGCAGAAGGCAGAGAAGGCACACAAACCATCAAGAAACACCATAACCCCGAGCATAAGCCCATTATGTCGTTCATGATTAAATACCTCAGGTAGGTACTCATTTTCTAGTGTGTGCGTCTAAATTTTAGAGGTTTCTACCCAATAAGCATATAAGGGAATCATTGTTTGGGAAAGGTTGCTCTACTCTACCTGCATTTTACTAATACCTACCTACCTAGTACCTACCCATCATGTGAATTTTTTTCCGAAAGCATATCCATGC